GGGGCGAGGCCTGCTGGGCGGGGCGAGGCCTGCTGGGCGGGGCGAGGCCTGCTGGGCGGGGCGAGGCCTGCTGGGCGGGGCGGGGCCTGACTCTGGGCGGAGCGGAGCCTTAATTGCCAGCGGCCGAGGCCAAGGGGACCGGGCCTGAGCCAAGCCCCGAGCGCTGGGCTGAGGTCGGGCTGGCCCCGTGGAGCTGGCCGGTGCCGGGGTGCGCGGCTGCAGCACCCCCTCCCCTCCCCTGCCCACCCGCAGCACCTGTACCTCTGGCTGGCGTCGGAGAAGGCACACGAGCGGCAGCGGGCTATGCACAGCTGCATGGCCCTTCTCAGATTCCTGAGCCAAAACCCCTACCTGGATGTGAGTATCCAGCCTTCTGGCCCCCCATCCCACACCCGCTCTGGGGCCCCAGCCAAGCCGTCCTCCTCCCGGAGGCTGACAGGCTCGTGGAGCTCAAGGCCCCCTAGACTTCTGCCGCCAGGATGGGTGGATCCTGGAATGCCCTACAACATGGCCATGTTGGAGGGCACAAGCTGGGGCAGGAATTGGGGCTCCCTACCCAGTCCGCACGGCTGGGCTCTGAACCCTGATGCCGGGACCCCTGACCCAGGAGGCTGGGCTCCTGGCAACACCCCATGAAGCCTCCGGCAGCATCTTTCACACCCTGAGCCTCCATTTCTCGCCCATGAAAAGGGAGGAAACAAGTCCTCCTCAGAGGGATACCCTGGGAGTCAGAGGAGGTGCTCCCCTGCCCCAGCCCCAGGTCAGGGCCGTTGCATTAAAATAGGATTCCTCTTGATTTCTGAGTTTGGGGCAACCCCTTATGTGTTGCCCGGTGTGCCCTGGGCTGCTGACTGTAGTGGCTGGGCCGGGTGGGCAGAGCCTGGGCTAGGGGTCCTGAGAGCCGAGCCCCAGCCCGGCCACACAGTCGGAGGATATCTGATGCCGGCCTTGCTGGGGTGAGTGCGCAGCAGGACAGAGACTCACGGGAGGGTCTGAAGTCACTGGTTCCCATGTTCTCACCACAGCCAAAAGAGGACTTCAAGCGGATTGGGCAGCTGGTGTGCGTGTTGGGGATTTTGTGCCAGGACCCGGACAGGGCCACCCAGCACTCCAGCCTGGAAGGAGTGGGCCACCTCTACCAGCTCCTGAGGTGCCAGAGAGGTGAGCCTCTGAGGGCACCACAGTGTGACCCGCTGCCACCCCAACCACGGCCTCAGCTGGGACCACACCCACACTCCTAAATGCACCCTACCCCTGATCTGCCCCGAAACCCACCTCTAATCCCAGCCATAGCCCTGTGATGTCCCCCATCCCAGGCTCACTCAGACTCCCATCCCTAGATGAGCACAGGCCTGACCCTGACTACCAGTGACCCTGTCCTGACCCCTCCTGTCCCCTCCTAGACCCCAAGCCTACCTTTGCCCGGCCCTCACCCTGTCCCACGCCCACCCCTGGCCAGCGACGGAAACTCGGAAGGTGGAGGTGCAGACCCCGGAGCAGCTTTCTCAGGCCCATGGGAATGGGACTCCTGTCTGGAGCAGCGGAGACCAGAAGACAGCTCCGCCGGCCTCTCAGGAGCCGGTGTTCCCGAAGGACGGCGTCCTCCAGCTTGGCAGCTCCCAAGTCATCAAGGTCAAAGCCCTTAGAAGGGTGGCAGATCTGGGTGGGGAGGTGCGGCCACGCTCTGCTCTGACCCCCAACACCATACCCTCTGACAGGGCTTCCAGCTGTTGGTTTGGTCTCGCTAGACCTAGGGGGTCAGAGCCTGGGCCGGGTGTGAGTATTACAACCAACGCTGGGATCTCACCTTTAACGCTGGTGATTCACTTAGAGCGCTTGGAGGAGTCCCTGGCCCTTGGCGTGGGATTGAGGACTTGGGAGAAGGAGAATGGGAGGGAGGGGTCAGAGACAGACCCTGAGGTCAGCGGCCTGGGCTTGAGTCCCAGCTCTGTCCCTCCTGGCTCTGACCTAGACAAGTCTCTTCTCCTGTCTGAGCCTCTGTCTTCTTCTGTAAAATGGTGCTGTGAACCCCTGGCCAGCACAAGCACCCAGTAAAACGGTGCTTTCAGGAGGCTCCCATGGCAGGTGTTCTCTGAGACACCATACAACGTCCTGCCCTGAGTCTGCTTTTTGCAGGAGGAGCACTCTCTGGAAATATCCCCACATGCCTCATTTCCCAGGGTCCTCTCTTACTCTGAAAGCCAGGCCCTCCTCCTGTAGAGGTGGAACATGGCTTCCCTTGCCCTGTCATCTGGTCTACCTCAGCCAGCTCTTCCTTGGTCAGCCGCCAGGGGGAGCCCAGGAGTTCCCCGATATCCCTTCCATCACCCCAGTGAGATCCTGGAAATTTGTGACATTCTGTGCCCAATGTGACTTGTGTTCTCCTCTGAACATGAGCGAGGCTGGGACCCAGCGTGTGGGCTGGACGCTGGTGTTGACCGGACGAGCCGTGTTTTGTGGAGCCTCGTGTTCTGAAGGGCCAGTTCATGATGGCTCTGACATAGTGACTTTGTGGCGCAGTGTTGGTGTTGAGCCCGTAACTAGTGAAGACCCCTGTATGTGGCACACTGGTCAGTCTCCCCTATTAGACCTTGAGCCCTCCAGGCCAGAAGCAGGGTCGTGCCAGGACCCAGTGCTGGGCCTGGTGGTAGAGACAGCCTTTAATAAACACCCACTAAGGGGCGCCTGGGTGGCTCAGTGGGTTAAAGCCTCTGCCTTCGGCTCAGGTCATGATCCCAGGGTCCTGGGATCGAGCCCCACATCGGGCTCTCTGCTCTGCAGGGAGCCTGCTTTCTCCTCTCTCTCTCTCTGCCTGTCTCTCTGCCTACTTGTGATCTCTGTCTGTCAAATGGATAAATAAAATCTTTAAAAAAAAAAAAAAAAACACCCACTAAGTTAAACCAGATCAAACCAGATGAGGAAGCAGTGGTGACAGCCGGTCGGAGCCCCAGCAAGGTCTGAATCCAGTCCTGGCTGACTCCAGTGTTCTCTGCAACCACAGTGAGCCATCAGGGTTGCAGTCGATTAGAGGTTGAGTATGGAAAATCCAAAGCCCTGGGGCCAATACATCAAGTATTGATGTATCGATATTGTATACACCAAGTAAGCCTAGCTTGACTTCCGTTTACGCCGAAGAACCTGGGCTGGGGGCAGAGGTGGGGCAGGGCAGGAGGGTTCCCTGGCTACCAGCTCAGAGGGAGCCAGTGGTGAAGAGGCCTCAGGGCTTTAGATTTTCTGTACTAAACACTCAGGCTCTCAGAAAGGCTGAGTAGGCCATCTGTGTCCTGCCCTGTCCCACCACACAGGGAGTGGACGTTCAGCTCTGGCTCTCTCTCCTTGGACAAGACACAGGGACGGACAGGAGCACAGAGAGGAGAGAGGATGAGAGGGCCTGCTGATCAAGGGTTAGTGGATCCAGGAAGGTTTGGAATGGAGAACTGACCTGGAATCTGTCCCCAGGTCTGTCCTTGATTCCCTCTGTGATCTTAGGTACACTACATCTTCATTACCACCATTACCACCACCACCACCATCACCACCACCGCTACCACCACTACTGCCATCACCATCGCCATCACCATCACCATTGCCATTGCAATCACCACCACTACCGCCATCTCCATCACCACCATCGTCACCCACCATCACCATCACCACCATCTCTACCATTACTGCCACCACCACTCCACATGTATTCATGTCCTGGGCTAAAGTAAGACATCTCCCAGGTATTTGCCAATCTTGAGATTGCAGTATTCTGGGATTCGGAGACTCTAAGCACCATTCCAAGTTGCATCTCTTCACTTTCTCAGTGCTAAAACTTTAACCAAAATTCAACATTTTAGAAACCAATTTTAAATGTAATCTCCTAACAAGTGTTCCAACCAGATTTATAATCACTTAATATTTTTTAAAGTTGTTATGAACTACAAATATTCCACGAAAATCACTTTGAACATTCTAACCAACAACTAATCCTAATAGTCTCACAAACATTTACCAAAATTTTAGAATAATTATCCTAATAAATATTCAAGCATTATTTAATACTAATTTTTCTATCTAATGTAAGTATAAACATCCTAACAGAGTTTCAAATAGTTCAACAAATACCCTAACATGCCAAGAAACATTACCACCCTTAACATCCTTGCGGACCTTATACATTTCTATTAGGATCCCGGCCGCCAGCCTTCTGTCTTCCTCTGATTATCAGATGTTCTGAGTCAGAGCCTTCCGATAGAACTTTCTAGGAGGATGGAAGTGTCTGTCTGCACTTCCCAGGTAGCCACTGGCTACATGTGTCTACCGGGCACTTGTAATGTGGCCAGTGCTATGGAGGAACTGAGATAGTGAATTTTACTTAATCACATTTACATTTAAGAAGCTACATGTGGCTGGTGGCTACCATAGTGGGCAACAATGCTCTAAGTCTTTCCAGAAGGTTCTACCGGGGCAGCCCCCGGCTGGCCCAGCCCCCACTCTCAAAGACTGTGGTCAGTGGCTATGGAGCAGGGGTCTCACCCACCACATTGCATTTCCCCGAGCCCCCCGTCATTCCCCTGAGTGGCTCACAGTCTGGATTCAGAGCTGATCCTGGGAGAACATGGGCAGAGAGCAGTCGGGCTCTTGGGGAGGTCCTACCGCAGCACAGGAGCCTGGGCTCTGGACCCGGCCTCTGCTGTGGTGAGGGTGCGCATGGGTCTGGGTCTGGGGATTGTTGTTCCGGGTGACCATGAAGACCCTTCCCAACTCTGAAGCTCAATGGCTCCTGATTCAAATGCTGTAAGGAGGACTAGGGCCTGGCATGGGGAGCACCCAGCTGGGCGGAGGCCAGCAGGTGAGGAAGTCCAGGAGGTGAGGACAGGGCAGAGGAGGGGAGGAAAGGAGGCTGGCCAGGCCACGCAGGCCCCAGGACAAGCACTGGGGTCCGAGTGAGGAAGGAAGCTGTTCCTCGGCACCACGACGGGCATCACGCTCTCCCTTCCCAAGCCTCAGAGAGATGTGCAGGCAGCCAGCCTGCAAAATGGGTACATGTCTGGGGGTTTTGGAGGAGAGGGGCTCAGACGTCTGGACGTGCTCAGAGACCTGGGCAGCCTGAGGCCAAGGAGAAGGGGAAAAGAGATGGCAGGAGACAGACAGCTGGGCACATGCGACCCGCAGTGACAGCTGCCCCCTCCGCCGCTGTTGCAGGAGGTCATGAAGCATCTCACGATGGCAGAGCTGACCGACCTCATCTGGACAGCCATCGAAGGCCTGGGCTCCACCAGCCCCTTCCGCGTTCAGGCAGCCGCCGACGTGCTGCTCACCACCATCAAGGAGCACGGGGCCAACCTGGAGACCGTGAGGGGCTGGGGCACCCGCTGAGGGTGGGGCAGGACAGGTCTGGGGGCAGAGGGACGGACGCCCAGTAGTCGGCACCCTGGGACTCGGGCCTGATGCAGGAGACACAGACCCCACCCAGACAGGTCCCGCGAATGAACGAATGGATGGATGGATGGCCCAAGCAGGTGTGCTGGGGCCCCGAGGGGTGTTTGCGGAGTCCTGGGGCCCGCATGCACAGACAAAGCTGCTGTGCCAGGCTTTGGGGGAGCACATGGGGGAGGAGGAGGCACACACGCTCCCAGAAGTTCTCAGTCTGACGGAAGGACAGACACAGGGAAGGACTGGACAGCATAGGAAATGCAAAGGCCACGAAGTGCCCCCGGTGGGGTGGGGGTGCCCCCCCCAGAAACAGGATGATGGATCCAAGTCCTGCAGATAAGGAAGCCCCAGGTAGGGGACACTGGACCCAGGCAGCAGGAGAGACCAGCAGTGGCTCGGGGAGGTGGGGGGACACCTTCCAGGACAGCGTGTGCCCAAGTGCTGTTCTCGGGAGATGTCGAGGTGGGTGTGTCTGAGCCTCCCAGGCCCTGGGCAGTGTTCGGACAGAGCCGGGGGGCCTCACATGCCCTGCGAAAGGCAGTGGGGCCTCTCCCCGCTTAGCCTGGGACTCCAGGGTGGAAAAGTGCCTCCCTCAGACTTCTGGGGCGGGGCCTGGCCTCCCCCCTCAGACCAGCCCTCTCCCCTGTGTTCTGCCTCCCTGCAGGTTGCCAACCTGGGCCGGGCCATCCACTTGCAGCTGTGCTCCATCCGCATCCCCCAGGCCAAGGAAGACGTCCTGCACGCCGTCACCCTGCTAGCCCGGAGCCACACGCCGGAGCTGGTGGCCACCTTCCTGGACTTCTCCATACCCCTGGACAGGTGCCCAGCCCCACCCTCCCCACTGACCCCATGGCCCACCCTCCGCCTCCCCCAGGCAGGGGGCGGGGCTTCCACCTCTGCCCTCCTGCCGGCCCCCTTCCAGCCCATGGGGACCCCCGCAGGTCTGGGCACAGGGAAGGAGCCCACGCCCCATTCACGGACTGCGGGTCTCCCGAGCCAGGCCCTGGGGAGGAGCTGCTCCCCGTTCTTCCTCCGTCCCAGCCTCATTCCCATCACCTCACCGTGAGAGTGCCTGGGACCTGAGGTGCCCCGGGCAAGACCCCAGCCAACACCAAAGTGTTGCCCTCCTTCCTGTTCCTCCAAGGACCTCTCCTCCCTCCCCCGCCTCCAGTGTCCACACAGCCCTTTTGGGCGGGGCTGGCTTTCTCAGGACGAATCCCAGCTCTGAACCCCAGGGGTTCAGTCTCTACCCCCAGCTGCACACCCGCCAGGCACCTGCGTTCTGTCATGCCTGGGTCCTTGCAGGGTCACTCCTGATTGTGGACGCGGTCTTACTCACCCCCCGTCTGAATCCTGGGGCTTTCTCTCAGCCCAACGTCTCAATGCCTGGATCCCCTCTCTCCCACTGATCCTGTCCTCCCTCCTGCCTCGGCCGCCCACTCCCATGGTCAGCCTCTTGGCTCGGACACCTCCAATCTGGGGCATCTCTGTCCACCACCCCCCAGCACCCCCTTACAGGCCACCTCCTCTGGTACCCCTGTGAGCCTCTGCCCTCCACAGCCTCCGGTCCACTATCCACCCACCTCCTCACATCCCTCCCCCATCCTCACCCCCCTCCTTACCAACATTAATTACTTCCTGGACATACCCAAGTCCCTCGTCCCCTCTGTCACACTCAGCCTGCAAAACCTCCCTCAGTTAAACTCCCCATTTTGAATTCCCAGCCCCACACCTCCCTGCCGCCAACCTCGCTCCCATTCTACTGAAAAATCGGAAGCCCCCAGAAGAGAAGTCCCGTGAGCTCCCAGCCCCCAAGACTCGTTTCCAGAAAGATTTCTGATTTCCATATGGGAGGGCCCTTTTGCTTCTGTAATTTCTAGTTGTTTTTTGTTTTGTTTGTTTTTGGGGTTGGTTTGTTTGTTTGTGCACTGGGATCAGAGAAGGCCACTGTCATGTTTCTGCTTTCTGGGATTTGCCGACCTTTGGAACAGCTGTCATGAGGGTTCTACCAGCACATGAGAAGAGGCTGTATCTTCTCCGTCGTGTGGTTCCAAGTGTGTGTCCACAGGCGCGCCTGAGGGACCGTGATGTTCCCTGATTTCGCAATGTCCACTCTGTTCTGTCTTGTACTGAGAACGGCACACTAAAGCCACGACCGACACATTCTGCCCACAAACGCTTCCACGTCCTGCAGGTTTTACGTCCTGCGTGGCCGTCACGTTCTTTATGCAAATGTATACCTTCCTTAGGAATTGCGGCTTCCGGCATAGAAAAGTGCCCCACCGGGACGCCTGGGTGGCTCAGTTGGTTAAGCAGCTGCCTTCAGCTCAGGTCATGATCCCAGCGTCCTGGATCGAGTCCCACATCGGGCTCCTTGCTCGGCAGGGAGCCTGCTTCTCCCTCTGCCTCTGCCTGCCATTCTGTCTGCCTGTGCTTGCTCTCTCTCTCTCTCTGACAAATAAATAAACAAAATCTTTAAAAAAAAAAAAAAAAAAGAAAAGAAAAGTGCCCCACCTTGTTGCGTGTAATGCTCCCCGGGCCCGAATTCCACCTTGTCTGCTACCAGGACAGCGGAAGCCTGTCTGCTTCCCCGTTTTCCCCTCTTGCCCAGTGTGTGTCATCTCACACCCAGCACAGAGCCCGGCTTTGATGTGTGCTCTGAACCGCTAGTCCCTTCCTTCTAATGAGCGAGCCCAACCCTTCCTTCCCACTTATCCACGCGATGGGTGTGTGGCGTCTCCACTCTGCCCAACATCCCACAGTTGCGTACGTGCTGTGGGTGTGCTCTACTGCTCTCCTCTTCTACGGGGCGTGTATTCTTGGATCCTTAATGTTTTTAATTAAAGAAGACGTATTTTTGCAATAGTCCCTATGTTCGTGCTCCCGACCCATTTTAATGCCCTCGGCCCTTGTTCTATCATCTAAGCTCTCGCCGTGTATTCTCTGCGGGAGCTTCTAGCCCTCTCCGCGCTGGACCAGACCCGCCTCCAACAGACAGCTCTCGAGGGCTCCCGTGTGCTTGAAGGACAACTCGGCTGGGCATAAAAGGCTCGGTTCACACTTGCTTTTATTGAGTATTTTTCAAGTGCTGCTCTGCGGTCGCCTTGCTTTGTTACTGAAATGTCTACCTATCGTGGTTTCTTTTTCCTTTATCAAGACGCCTGCCTTCGAAAGAGGTCTTGCTTCCGGGACACCTTGCAGGGTGTCCGCCCACCTCTGGAACTGAACAATTTTATTAAGAGGGGCCTCAGCGTTGACCATTCTGTGTTCATTCTCCCAAGGACCTAGTGGGTCCTTCGAATGTGTAGACTAGGCCTTTGGTTGTCGTTTCTGGAATGTTCTCTGGGTGATAGCTTGAAACACGTGCTCCATTCCCCTGACAAGCTCGCCCTTCCAAGCTGCTAGGCGATCCCGTCCTCCATCTCCAGCACCTCCTCTCTGATCCTTTTCACGTCTTTCGTGCCGGCTTCCTGCTTTCCCTCGATGCCCCTTAGCTGACTTCTTATCATCCCTCTTGGACATCTTGCGTTTTTTCCACTTCGGAGATAATTTCGTCCTTTCTTCCACCTTTTTCCCGAACTCAGCCAATCCTCTGTTCCTTTCTTTACTGAGGTGTGGTGGTGGTGGTGGTTTTCTTTTTGGAAGTTATAACTCAAGGTGGCTGTTCCTGTGTCTGGGTGCTCGCTGGAGTCTGAGGAGTGCTGTCTGCACGGGGTCTGCTTCGGAGGGGAACCCTTCCTTGTTGGTTGGGCGCTGGTTATTTTTTTCTATTTTTGATTTTTTTCATTTCATTTCATTTTGTTTTGTTTTGCAATAACTCAGTGGATCTGTTACTCCTGTTCCTGTTCCTATCAAACACTGGTGGAGGCTTCTACAGGATTTCAAGTTCAATGGCACCCTCTTCTGTTCATCGAGCAAAGTCTGGAGGATTTAGTGGACTATCTTGGTGGCAGGTGAAAAGGTCATGTGTCCTCCAGTTGGGGGGGTGGGTTTTTGGAGGTTTTTGGTTCTTTTCTCTCTTGTAGGGTCGTCCGTTTTCCTCCTCCACATAGTCCCTGTCACCGCCCACTCTCCAAAGGCACCTGGTTCTTTTCCCGTATTTTTCTCCCCAGAGCCGTGTGTCTTGGAGGCTGCCCTTCCCACGGCACCAGCTCCGTCAGCCCCTTTCCTGTGGTTAGTGCCCTTCTTTTCTCCTGTTTCCCTCTTGTCGGCCTGGGATGGACTTTGCCTTCCTGGAGGTGAGTGGGTTCAATTCTGAGCCCTGCCTCTGGCTTCCTTCCCCTGTGTCCTGCGGTCTCCTCCCCGTCCTGGACCCCAGAGCCCCTGGCGGCAGCAGCGATGGGCACTTCTCTTGTTTGCCTACAGTGATGTCGAACTTCAGGTGTCCTCTGAGGTCACAGTCTCTGTGCGATTTTAATTTTCCCTCCCTCTTGCTCCATGTGGTTTCTCAAGGTTACTTGAAGGGCGAGGAACCTGGAGACCGCCTTGTCTTCAGCTGCCCCGGGGTCTGCGGTTCACCTGGGCCTGCACTGAGTTTATACCTTCCTCCCCCGTCCCGAGAAGCACGTTTGCCCTGGACGGGAATGCACTTGACGCTGAGGGTCCTTAACCTGGGCTTGTGTGGGCGTCTTGCCAGCCCGGGGACCACGTCCGATTCAAGTCTGTGCCCGGGGGTTTCTTTGAGCCGCGCTGTGGTGTGACTTCAGACCCAGATCGGGTTTCGTGATTCGGACCCTCGGGAGCAGTCCCTCCCTGCACCCAGTGCTCTGTTGGAGGCCGGCAGACCTCCTGGCTGTTCCCCTCCGCAGACGGCCAGGTCGGTGGTTATCATCCTCACACAGAACCAGCGGCTCTTGGGGTCCCACCTCTGTGATGGAGGTAGACGTCCACCTGGAATAATTTTGCTTTCTCAGAAGCGCCTGAAGCTTCTTAGGAAACGTCGGAAGCATTCTTAGAAACAACGTGGCGTGCCCTAACGCTATGAACAGAGCGGGGTGGTAGGTGCCCCGCCAGTCTTCTTGTGTCCTGTGGCTTTTCCCGTCAACAGTGTGCATCTACAATTCATTCCGGTATGTTACCTGTGGCTGCAGTTCATTCGTTTTTGTGGCCGTTTAGAGCCTCGTGAAAGCTGATCACCCTTTCTGCCACACATTGGGGTTGTCGCCTGCTCGGGTCTGTGACTAACGCACCCTCACGTGCTCCCAGGTGCCCCCATGCGCATCCGGGGGCGTGTTCTGTCCGCACCGGGGGCGCGTTCAGGACGCAAACGCCCTGGAGTTCTGCACGGACCCAACGTTAACGGACCCATCAGATCGTTTTCCAAAGGGCTCGCATCGCCTCACGCTCCTGCCGGGATGTTTTTGAGAGACCTCACTCCACATTTCATCCACACTTAGTCCCAACTTTCTAACCACTCGTTAAACTGTCACCCGCCTGGTGCACAAATCGCGTCGCGACGTTCGTTCGCACGTTTCTAATGAAATCATGGTGCTGAGCGCTTGGCCGTTGGAGTATTGTCTTTGGTGATCTGTGCGTCGAGGACCCAACCCATCCTTCTGCTGGGACGTCCCTCTTTTTCTCACCCACTCCCAGGAACTTCTGAGTACAAGCCTCTCCCGATTGCGTGGAAAGCCTCTCCTGGCAGCACTCTGCGGCTTGTCTTTTCACTCCCTGAATCTGCCTTTCGATGAAAAGGAGCGCGGGTCTGGTTCTTCCCGCTCAGGATCTTACAGAAGTTCTGCTGACTGACTGCCTTTCGAACTCAGGTCCCGGCCGCCCCGTAAGTGAGACGGTGCGCACGTGAGGCCGGGCTCCTGTTCTGTGTAGTGGCCGGCCTCCTTTAGTGACAAGCCCAGCCCGGGCCCGGAGCTCGGGAGGCTCCCTGCCTGCCGGCCAAGTGCCCGCGGGTGGGGGTCTGTGTCTGGGCTCAGCAGCGCTCTGCTCGCCTGTCCCCCTGCTGACACCCAAGGTCCTAATTCCTGTAGCATCACTTAGGTTCTCAGCACCTGATACAGAACGGCCCCCCTGATCCTCCTTGACACCGGCCCGGCGGCTCTCGGCCCTGCGCATCTCGAATTTCTACATGGACTTACACTTGGCTTGCCAAGTTGTCTTTCTTTTTCTCCCGTGTTTCTCATTTACCCTTTGAGGGTGACTTTGCTGGGTCAGCCCCCAGCTGCCCACCGCCGGTGTAGGTACAACCCACAGTGTGTCACGCTGGCTCCTTTCAGTAATGGAATCCACGCCGGCGAGACCGCCTCCCGCACGAGAGCTGGGATCTCGGTCATGCCCTCCAGCTGGGGACAGGGCTGAGCGCCACCGGTCCCAGCCCCCTGCGCATCCTCCACCCACGCTCACCCCCCTTCATTTCTTTTTCATTTTATTGCCGCTAAACACATTCCTTAAAGTGGTTCTTCGTTTTCGCCATTGTGCTGTGGGGGGCGGTGTCGCCTGTCGTCCTCAGAGAGGCGCTTCCTCCCGGTGCTAACCGGTGAGGGGCAGGCTGTCCATCGGGACATAAACCCAGCAGCACCCACTTTTCTTTCCTTAGTAAGGTGTCAAGTGTCTCTTCCCAGCCCTTCTATTTTGAATTAATAGGCTTTCTCTTTCGGAGCAGTTGTGGTTCATAGAAGAATCAGCAGAACGCCACGTCCCACCACTGTCCCCCCTGCTAGCACCCGGCGCAGGCCACTGTGTTGGCTCCGGCCAGGGGACCATTCTGCGGCGTCGTCATCAACGAGAGCCCACAGCGAGGTGGGGCTCGGCCGGGCGCCAACCATCCATCCCGCGGGCTCGGATGGGGCGCAGGCCATGCACCACTCGCCTGTCCTCCAGAGTAGCGCCACTGCCCAAAATCCATTCTGCCCTCCTGACCCCTCACAGCCGCCGATCTTCTACCTGCCTCCACGCTTCCGCCTTTTCCAGAATGTCGCAGACTTAGAGCCGTACAGTACGGGGCCTTTCCCTCCAGCTCCTAGTCCTCAGCGATACGCATTTCGGGTTCCTCCATGTCCTTCCCGGGCTGCCCTCTCAGCTCCTAGCTGCCCCGGCTCTGCCTCCTGCCGGTCCCTCCTGTCTCCAGTCTCTCAGGACAGGGCCACAGGGCTCGGGACCCAGAGCTCCCCTCACTTACACTCCTCTCCCCATGGCCACCTCCATTCCCGCGGCTCTAAGTATCCCCTATACAGACGCCTGCCCCCCACCCCGAGTGTTCACCCCGCCAGACGGCAGCACGTGAATGTCGGGCAGGCATTCCACACCGGACACACCTGGGCCACGCCGCTGGCCGTCCCCGTAAAACTGTCCTCCTGGGGGCTTCCCCACGCCGATGCCATCTGCCCAGCTTTTCAAGCCAGAGCTCTTGGGCCACCTGGACTGTCCTCTCCACACCCAGACCTACCCTCAGGGAGCCCTACAGCTCCAGCTGCCCCGTCCCCGCAGCCCGTCAGGACATCACAGGCTCACACGGAGTCCCAGCAGCCAGAGGGAGGCTTCAGAGATAAGTTGGACTGCGTCTCTCCTCTGCTACAGACTGTCCCGTGGCCCCGTGACATTCAAAGTCAAGGCAAAAACTTCACAGTAGCCGACAAGGTTGTGGCCTGGCCCCACACCCTCGCTGTCCTCCTCTCCCAGCCCCACTCTCTCCACTCCATCCCCGGCCCTTCCTGCCGGCCCTGAGCACACCAGCATCGGCTCTGTGTCGGGGCCGGAAGGTTCTCCCCACCCCAGAGCAGCGCAGCTCCCTGCTTACCGCCTCAGATCTTTGCTCACGTCCCTTCTGGGTGAAGGCTTCCCAGCCGTCCCACAAAAAACCTGACCGCAGCCCAGATGCACCCTCCTGCCGTCCCCCTCCCAGCACCCCCCTTCACTGATCCCCTCCCCTCCTCTGCTTTGTGCACTTAGTCCCACACACCTTGTTTGCTGGCTGAGTCCAGCCCTAGGGGTCACTCCCACACAGACGAGGACTTTGCCGGTTCTGTCACTGCTCTGTTCCCAAGCTGGCTGCCCGCACATGACAGGTCTCAGCACCCACATGCCAGCAGAACAAAGGAGACGCCCAGGCCCTTGGTTGCCCTCGCTCCTGGAGAAGCATGTCCCCTCGGCTTCTCGACGCAGGCTTCGCCCCCAGAGACCCGCCCACTGCCTCACAGCCGGGATGGCACCGCAGGGACTCGGGCCTGGGTCCTTCCGACAGCAGAGGCCCCATCTACAGTTGCAGAGCAGCTGTGCACCCCCAGCCCAGTGTCTGTCCTAAACCCGGGGTGGGGGCTTCTCCAGGCCCCCACTGTGGCCTCCCGGTCCCTACCCCCCTGCTCCTCCAGCCCCTTCCACCCAGCACTCGGCCCCAAAGACCACCACCTAGCACAGAAAACAGAGGGCCATCAGGAGCCCCAAAGCCTCTGCCCCCCAGGACTCACAGGCCCATGTCCATGCACCAAGTGGAAAGGCCACAGGACTGGGCAGGCCTGGCCTCCAGCCCCAGCTCCCCGGTCACAAGGGAGGGCCCAATCAGTCCTCAGTTTCCCCATCTGCAAAATGAGCACAAGGACACTGTAAAGCTCTGTGCACACACACCTGTCCCTGCTGCCCATTCTCTCCTCCAGTGCCCCCCTCCCCTCCAGGGGCTCCGCACGCCCAGGGGATCCAGCCCAGCCTCCTCCCTTGGCTCCTGAGGCCCTGGAGGTCTGCTGGGGCAGCTGAGCACGAGCAGGGTGGCCCTCATGACCCCCCTTTGCCTGCAGCCATGCCTTCCGCTTGTGGAGGGCCCTGGGGGCCGAGCAGCCCGTGAGCCGCGTGGTATTGGCCACGCTCCTGGACTGGCTGCGGGAGCGGCCGCTGCCCGGAGGGGCCGGAAACGGCAGCCCCCAGCCCAAGGATCAGCCCTGGCTGCGCTCGTTGGCTGTGAGTGCACGACCTCGTTTTCCCCCAGGCTTACACACCCCCAGCCCAAAAGCCCCTGAGCAGCAGCCCAGAGCCGCCCAGAGCCCCTCCCCGCCTGGAGCCCCCAGACACACTGCCACACGAGCACAGGTGCGTGATGGTTGAACGTGGAAGCAGAGGGCACCCCCACCCCGTCTCCGAGCCCGGCCCTCGGCCCTTCCCCTGAGCAGCCCCCAGCCCCGCGCTGACGCAGGCCCCTCCTGTCAAAAACCACACAGCAGCATGGGCTCAGCAGGGCAGCCTCCTCCGTGTCCCACCACGCCCCCAGCCTGGGCCTGCCCTTGTCATGACCGCCCAGTGATGACCCCCACCCCAAGAACATTCTGGTCTGCGTGCTCTGATGGGCACAGGAAGCCTCGGGGCTGCTGCCCGGTAGCTCTGCCTTCGGGGACCATCTGTCCCCCGCTGTCCCTTGTCACAGACCTCTGTGCAGCTGTCCCACGGGAAGCACACCACACGGCCTTGCCACCGGGGTTCCAGAGCACGGTCTGGACACGGATGGACGGCGGACAGAGCGGGCGGGTGGGGGTGGCTGGCAACCCGGGACGTGCTGTGAGGGAGGGCCCAGGACCTCCTGTGGGTCCAGGAAGGGAGCCGAGAGGGCCAAGGCCCCCGGAGGAACATCTCAGAGATACAGCCCTGGTGCTGGAGGCTATGACAGGAGGGGAGGCCGGCCAGACACACTCCTGTCCCGACAGGCCATGAACACGCTGCACGAACTGCAGTTCGCCCGGGAGTTCAAGAAGGCGGTGCGGGAGGCCCACCCCGAGCTGCTGCTGGCCCTCCTCACCCAGCTGCACTACGTCTTGGAGCTGAACCCGCCAGAGGGGCCCCCGCCCGGCCAGGAGGCCCCAGAGACGACCACACCCAGCCCGCAGAGGTAAGGACAGACACAGGCTCCCGAGGCAGGCACGGGGGCCGAGACGGGTACAAGCCTCCTGGGGCCGACAGCGCCATAGCACCCGGCGGCCAACAGCGGCACGCGCCTGCGGCCTCGGCTCTGAGGACTCAAGTCCAAGCACACGGTGCAGCGGGGCCGCGCTCCCTCTGAAGCCTGTAGGGGAGGACACTCCCGGCCTCCTCCTCTGCTGGTGTTCCCTGACTTGCAGACGTTGCCTCCCCTTCTGCCTCCCTCCCCACCTGCCGTTCTCCCCTGCGTGTCTCTGTCCCGGTTTCCCTTTCGTATAAGGACACCGGTGACTGGCTTAGGGCCACCCTCCTGGTCTCATCCTAACTCGATTCCAGCTGCAAAGATCCTGTTTCCAAATAAGGTCACATTCACAGGTACAGACGGGTTTTAGGACGTGGACAGAGCTTTTGCGGGGCACACGATTCAACCCCCGAACGCCCTCATGGCCAGCGCAGCCGTCAGCGCGGAGGGACCCGGGGCAGGTGTAGGGCCTGTTTCCACACTCCCTGAGGGGTGCCTGGCAACAGAAACACCCGCGAGCATGTGCACACTTCATGGGACAGCCCTTGCCGCCACCCCTGAACGTGGTCCTTGCAGGAATTCTGTGAGACGAATGTTGTTGCCCCATTGCACACGTAAGGAGACCAAGGCTCAGAGAAGGTCAGAGCCTTTCCCTGAGACACACAGCACACCCATGAGCTGCGAAGCTAGAGTGTGTGGAATGGCAGGGAGGCCCCCTGGCCACTGCTGAGTCCCACCTGGGTCCCCTTGTGCATGGCTCTGACCCTGGTGCACTTTTGCTCTGACGGGACCCCTGCGGTCCCTGCCCCTCCACCCCCACCCCGTGCAGTGCGGACGAGACCCGCGTAGGAGGGCTGCACTCGGCCACCGTTCCGGCTGGCCGCCTTGTCCTCCCTCCACGCCAGGTAACATTGTTAGAAATCCAACAAGCTAGTCTCTAAAAACCACGGGTCCGACTCTTTTCATGTGTTCGTATTATGATGTGCTTCACGAAATTTGTCAGTTCTAACAGCTCTCCCCAAGGCGCGTCCCGGGAAAAAAAATGTCATTTCTTCTCATATTGCTTCTGAATTTGAATGTGCGTAAATTTCCTTTTTTATTCAGCTCAACCATGCAAAAGGCATGAATCTTCCTTAATAAGCTAATAAAACGTTCTTCTCCCAGAACTTACGTAGGAGGGCTGGAAGGGAGCCGCAGTGAGCCATCTTCGTCCATCTGCTCCCCACCAGCCCTGCTGCCCACATGGGCCCAGCCTCCCAGTCTCCTGCCCTGGCCTCCCCCCCAACCCTAAGCTCACTCGCCTGCCCTCCACGCTGCAGCCCAGATCCTGTTCACGATATGTCCGTGGCCTCATGCTTCCCTGCCCCTCCCCACAGAGATCAGAAAGAGCCAGATCCTTCCAGTGGCCCAGAGGCCCCTCTCGCTCTAGCTCCCTGTTGCCCCCAGGACCTCACTTCCTGCCACACAGCCCTCACTCGCACTTTCTGCTCCAACCTCAGAGGTTTCCTGTTTCTTAAACCCAGCCTGCTCCTGCCTCAGGGCCTTTGCACTTCCTGCTCCCTCTTCCTGGAACGCTCTTCCCCCAGACAGCCTCACCTCCTATGAGTCTCTCCAAACTTTCTCTAACAGGTGGTGCTACTCCCACTCGGCTGTTCCCTTCCCAAGGCCAGCACTGCCTAACAATGGTTACCTGCACCCTGTGGAATGGAAACTCCCAGGGAGCACAGGTGTCCGTCTGTCTCACAGGGCTCCCATAGACAGCACAGGTGTCCGTCTGTCTGTCTCACTGGGTTCCCACAGATAGCACAGGTGTCCGTCTGTCTGTCTCACTGGGTTCCCACAGACAGCACAGGTGTCCGTCTGTCTGTCTCACTGGGTTCCCATAGACAGCACAGGTGTCCGTCTGTCTCACTGGGCTACCTTGGGAACTTTTTGCTCCAACAGGCTGAACAGACACGCCCTCTCCCTCCCCGACCTCAGCCGCCAGGCCTCTCTCTGAATGAGTCCTGTCCAGGGAGGAGGGATGGTCCCAGCAACTGAGGGACAGACTCTCACCCCAGGCGTAGTCCGTTGGTTCTGACAGGCCGGTCTTCAATCACATGCTTACCTCTGTGCCATCACCTGGGCGCAGGATGGCGTGGGGCTCTCATTGCCCAGCCTGGGCTCCCATACCACCCCCAGAGCAGGGACAGGAACTGGGCCCCATCTGGCCCAGAGGGAAACCACAGAGGCCCGAAGGAAGGGCAGGCCAGCCAGCAGCAATGCCAGCAGACGCTTGGGGTGGTGGTGAGGTTGGCGGCCACTCCCCAGGACCCAGAAGGCATTGTCATGCAGGTGGGTCCCTGCCGGCTCGGCTCTGGTGCCTGAGGCTGTGGCACCATCTAGGGGTCAAGGCCAAGGAAGGGATCTGGGCCCCCACTGCTGAGAGTCCTCCTGTCTTGTGGGTGCCCCTGGCCATGTGGGGAGGGCCCTCTCCGGACTCTGGGTGGCGGCCCAGTGAGCCTTGAGGCAGGCTCAGACCACCCTTAGGGCTCCAAGGTCCCCAGCATCCTGTGGAGCTGGGCTGGCCTCTGGGACCAGCCAGTGGGGGTTGGGCATGACACTCCCCCCTCCCCCCAGCGGGGCTGTGAAAGCTTGGCCAGCCCTGCCTGGGTGACCCTCCCCTTCCTTTGCATCTTTGACAAGCAGAGCCCCTTTCTCTAGAGACAGTAACTGCTTCATCCGTTCTCAGCCAGGTCCTCCTCCAGGCAATGTCCATCCTGCCCTACAAAGGGGGCGTTCCTTTAGTTTCTCCAACACGGACTGACTCTCTTTAATTCTCATGGAGCATCTGATTTCTCTTTAATTCTCATGGAGTATCCGATTTCTCCTTATTTCAGACACTCCTTTGGACAGCTTAGAAGTACAACCGACATATTTTCCTTTTTGCCCTGGCTGCCAGGAAGCTCATATTTAAAGTTAATTTTCAGTACCTCCCTAGAATGACTCATACTTCCTTTTTGCTTCTCGCCTCCTAATTCCTTGTCTTTTAAACTTAAAGCTTTAAAAATAAACCTAAAGCTTTAAATTTAAAGATTTTTTTAATTTAAAACACTATTCACAGTCCTGGATTTGGGCACTTGACAAGGAACCAATAAGCAATTAGTACTGATATGCTGTCCAGGCCTGGACCTGAGATCTAAGACCCCGTCCCAACCTGCTCCATGAGCACTCTGTCCGGTTGGGGGGGTGGGTCCCTGCCCGCACGGCTGGGAGGGTCAGGAGAGTTGGTGGCCTGGGCAGCCTCTGTTCTGGACCCAACTTGATGAGTTACCCTAGACAAGCGGCCAACACTCCAGGCCTCAGTGAAGGCGAAAGTTTCTATTGCATGACCCCAGCCCCAGGATCTCGTCCATTTGCCCAGTGGCGACCCTGGAATCTGCGGGGAGGTGTGTCTCCCCAGTGAGGTGAGCAAAGACTCCTGAGCAGGGAGGGGCCGACATGGCACCCTGTCCCAGCCTCTGACCTCTCTTACCACCCCGGCGTCCCCGCAGCCCTGCCCAGACCTGCCTCTTCTCCTGACCCACCATCCCTCGGTCCCTGGCCTCAGCCATGCTCCATGCTCCCTACACCTCTTGGAGGAAAGGAAAAGTAGGACTGACAGACAGCCGTCCTTGTCAGCTGTGGAGGGCTGCTGTGCCCCACGGTCAGCACTCAGCGCCGGCAGGTGCTCACTACGCCCCAGTCCACACTGATCACCGGAGACGGGTCCCTTTGCCTGGGCGCTCACAGCCCCGTGGAAATGCAAACGGGGGCCGGGGGCGGCCCGGTGATAGATGAGCAGACGACACAACCCTGAGAGTCACCGCCTCCACAGAGGATGACCCGGAGCACCCTCTGCCCCCGCCGTGTGGTCCCTGAGGACCAAGCATCCTAGCTGAGACCCGACTGATGGTTGAAGTGCGGGGGGGTGGGGGGCAGGGAGCCTTAGGGGGACGGGGACATGAGAGAAGGAGCTGAAAAGAGGCCTCGGAGTCCATCTCTACACCAGAACAGTGGGGAGCCACGGAGGGCTCTGTGCAGAGGGAGTCGCAGGGGCTGATCAACACTGGCCATGGGTGGCCAGAGGGGGCCGTGGACACTCCTGAGAGCGCATCTGGACTCCAGGCTGGGCCTCCTTTCTGCACGGCAATGCTGGGGACAGCAGTGGCCTGTCCTCGGGGCGTCGGCAGGTCAGACGGACGATGCCCGGTTTGCCCGGCTCAGCACCCACCCAGGCTTCGCGCACCTGCACCCTCCCTACTCCCCTCAGCTCGTCCCTACACGCAGTCAGGGTGGCAGGTGTGGGCGACACAGGAGACCCTCACACGCTGAATGATGGTGAGGGAGTAAAATGGCGCAGCTGCTGCGGAAAACAAGGGGGCCGTTCCTCGAAACGTCTAACACAGAATCACTGTGCGAAGTTAGCAGCAGGAGGAGGAGGTGGGGGGAGGGGAGGGCGGCCCGGCCGTCCCTGGGGCAGGCGTCGCTGGGAGAGGCTGGGGAGGGCAGTCCTGGAAGCCGCACACCCAGGCTCGCGCTCAAGAGCCTCCATGGACAGCCGGTCTGGGGGCTGCGTGGATCTCGGGCCACACGTGTGTCTGGGCATCGCCAGGCGTCCTGGCTGGAGGAGGTTCCAGATTTCAGGGTCCTACTGGGCGTGCCGATCCACCCGAGAGTGCCCAGGTCAGCCGAACGCCGTCTTCCCGGAGCCCTGGTGTGGTTGCTGGGGCAAGGCAACCCTGCACGCTGATGGTCTGGGCGCCCATGTTCCGGGAGCTTCCAAGGGTCAACACGGAAGGGACAGCGCGCTACTGCGCCCTGACGTCCCCTTCTCCCGAAACTGTGGTCACTCTGGCTGAAGCCTGTGCCCTGGAAAATGCTGCTTCTCAGGGGCCTCTCTCGGGGTGACATTTGGGGTTGATGCCGCCAGGGACTCTGATGCCGTGGAACTCTGTCCCTTGACCCTATGTGTAGCTCAGAATCGTGCCTGGTCCCAGCTGACGGCCTCATCCTGGGACCCTGCTCACACATCCCGGGCGACTCGACCTGTCACGGGAAGCTGGGCAGATGTGACCCAGCACAGGGTGACCGGGAAGGGGGAACAGGCCACTGAGGGGGGCTGCCCTGCTATCCTGGGGCCTGTGTTCTGGAGCCCTATTCCTGTGTCCTGCCTGCAGAGCTGGGGGCAGCCCTGGGCCTGTGACCGGAACATCAGGCAGGCTTGGAGCCAAGGACCGAGCTGCCCCGGCGGGGCCGTGTGGCCAGGACAGGGCCCTCAGTCCTCTGGCAGCTGACGAGCATGTGGTCAGGCCTTGCTTTGTGTCTGGCGTCCTTTCCTGGGTGCACACGTGCCTGGGACCAGAGGAGCCTATGTCCCCTGCGTGGTGTCCAGGAGGCAAGTGGACACTTCCCCGGGCTTCCGTGATGCCATACACCCCAGCCCTCCTCCTCCCTCCCTGCAGCACCCTCTTCGGGTTCTCAGCCCCACATTTAAACAGCACCATCCCCCAAGCCTCAGCCGGGACCCTCTATACCCTGTGACATGGGACCCCCGGCCCTGTCCCCAGAGCTACGGCCTCAGAAAGCCCTTCACGGACGCCACCAGGTGTCCCCTGAGATGCTCCAGGCACATCTCACACTCCTGTGCCCCAGGCCAATCTCACAGCCTCCCATAGTGCCCCCCGCTCCTCAAGGGTTGCCCTCTGCTCTCCGGCCCCAGCCACTGACCTAGAGCCCAGGCCCGGAGGCTGAACGTGCTCCTGCTGCCCCCTCCCCCAACACAGCTCCCACCCATGCCAGGCCTCCCTCCTGCCCAGGGCAGGGCTGGCCCAGTGACCACGCCCCCCAACCCCCTGCAGCACGTCCCTGGAAGCACTGAGAAGCCTGCTGTCCACCACGGGGCACTGGCAGGACTTCGCGTTCCTGGAGCTGCAGGACGCCTGGAAGCTCTTCACCACCATCCACACCTACCCGCAGGGCGTGGGTCTCCTCGCCAGGTAGGAGTGGGGCCAGGCAGGGGCAGGGCCTGGCCCAGGCCACCACCTGTCCCGGAAGCTGCGTGTACCGACCGCGGTGACCACCAGGGTGCACCCGTGAGCGCAGCCCCAGGAGCTCACACGCGCCCCCGCACCGAGAGCCTGCCGGTATAGGGGTCATCCGCTAGCCGCACCCGGCCGGAGGCCACCGGGGGGCCTGCCACTCGGCCTCCCACACATCCAGCCCAGGCCTGGAAGCCAGTGGGCGACCAGGAGGTACAGAGGGGGATCCCACACTCCCAGCAATGGGCACCTGCTCAGACGCAGCCCCCGCTGGGCCCGGCTGTGGTGGCAGGTACACTCCGGGCCTCACCCCCACACCCAGGCCCTGCCCCTGCCCTCCTCCCCTCGCCCCAGGGCCATGGTGCAGAACCGCTGCCAACAGATCAAGGCAGTGACCAGCCAGCTGCTGCCCAGCCTGCAGAGCAAGGAGGAGCGCGAGAGGAAGGCGGCCATCCTCATCCTCACCGAGGTAGGGCCTGGGCAGGGAGAGGGGAGCCCCTCAGACACGGCCTCCTCCTCCGGCTGCCTCAGTGCCCCCATCAGGACCTTGCCTGGACGGAGGCCCATCCGGACGGCCCTTCCTACCCCGTCCATCCCCCTTCCGGCTCCAGGGTGGTCCACAGTCTGGGGCTCCTGGCTGGGTCCCCCACTTCTCAGGCCCCCGTCAGCCTGTGGCCTGGGCGAACCTGTCCCCACCTCTCACTCTCCCGGGCCAGGCAGGACTGGAGCTCAGGTCCACCCCAGATACTGGGAGGCCAAGAAAGCCCTGGTTAGAACAGGAGAGGCGCAGGGGTCCAGCAAGTGTTGCCCTGAGGCTAGGGCCACGGTGGGGCTCACGAGGCAGCTCCGTAACAGCCATCGGCTCGGAAAACGCCTGTAGCCCTGCGCTGCTTCCAACCCCACCCACCAGCAGGAACGTCTGAGCCACCGGCTCCGTCCCCAGCTCTCCCATGGGCCTGGCCACGGCTGCACATGGGACCCAGCCTTGCTGTGTGACATCAGGCAAGGCCCTTCTCCCTCTGGGCCTTGGTTTCCCCAGCTGTACTTGGAAAAGCTGAACCAGCATGGAGATGGGTTTCAAATCCGTGTTAACCAAGACACCCAGAGAGTGCTAGTAACCGTCCTCTGAAAACCCCTGCTGGACCCTGGCCCTCGAGCCTGGCTCCCAGATGCAGATGGAGCTCCCTATGAGAACGTGGCAGGCCTGACCTGCCCGCCCTTGGGGACGACCCCAGTTCCTCTACAGCCCCACCATGCTGGAGGTGCTCCCCAGACAGGCTGCCCTGACCACGCTGGCCCGAAGCCTCAGGGACCCCAGCCCCGAGGTCCGCGTGTTGAGCCTGCAGGGCCTAGGAAACATCCTTTTCCACCCAGAGAAGGTAAGGGCCGGGGAGGGGGGTGTTGTCGCCGTCACACACCCACCCCACCAGAGCAGCTGGTGCACGGAGTACAGACAGGCCTACTGGGTTGGAATCCTGGCTCTGTCCCTTTCCGCAGTGTAGCTGGGAACACAAGACCATCCCCCTCCAGGCCTCAGTGTCCTCATCTGTAGAATGGGCTTGGTGATGGCCTCTCGGCAGGGTTCTGGGAGGGGTAAAGTGTCTGTTCCCCTAGGACGTGTCTCCTTCCATACCCAGCAGAGAGATGGCGCTATTGCAGACCTCCAGGGGCCAAGCGGGGGTGGGGGGTGCACCAGGAGTCACCCAAGCCTGGCCCGCAGAGGGGAACTTCCCCTGAGAATCTCGGGGCCCAGCCCTCTCCTCTGCTGGTGACCCATTTCCCCATCCCCCTCTGACCCCCCCATCACTGGAACGCCCCCATCCCATGATGAGCAGCAGGGGGCGTTAGCAAAGAGGCAGAAGAAAAGGGCCACGACACTGCCCCAGGCAACTGGCCATCCCGCTGGAGCCTGATGTCACCCCCGCTGTGGGTTCCTAGGGCGCCATGCCTTGGCAGGGGACCCAGGTGACACAGCAGCTTGCCAGGTCCAACCCGTCCTCACCCCAGCACTTTCCAGCCAGCATGTTTCTTCAGGACCTGGGCCTGGGTCAGTGTCCATCTCAGTGACACGGGAGGTGTCACAGCACATGGTCACGAGCACTGTGCTGAGTCCATGCATAGGCAGCACAGAGGTCCCCTCTGGCCTTTTATCCCTGGCACCGGTGTGGATGTGCCCTGGCCTCTGCCGTGTAACAGAAACGTCAGGATTTTCTTACCTGATCTGGGGGTGCACGGCCTCCACCTCCCCCAACCACGCCAGGGGCTACACGAACACCCAAGAAGATGGCAAGCTGCCCAGACACCATCTCCACTGCTGAACATCAGGACTCACAGGGCTTGTGGGAGGAAGCACCTGATGGTGGAGGCCACAGGAGGGCCGGGCTCCCAAGACATCCTGCAGCCTTCTGCCCGTCAGCCCACTTCCCTACCACTGTGCTCTCCTGGCACATCTCCACATGGCTAAGAAGAGCTCTCCATTAGGGTCACTGCTGGCAAAGCCTTTCCCTGCATGTGACACACTGTAGGTACTTAGTAAGGGAGACCAGCGCTTCTTCATTCATCCACCCATCTACTCATCCAGGTACCTGTACACCCAGCCACCCATCCATTCACCATCCATCCGTCCATCCATCTGCCCATCCACTCCTCCATCTACCTATCAATTCATCCATCCACCCATTTGCCCATCCACCCACCCATCCACCCACCCACCCACCCACCCACCCAACCAACCACCCACCCATCCATCTATCCATCCACCCATCCACCCATCCACCCACCCATCCATCCATCCATCCACCCACCCACCCACCCACCCATCCACCCATCCGCCCACCCATCCGCCCATCCATTTGTTCCTTGGGCCCTTCATTTACGACTTACTCTTTCATTATTTTTTATTCACTCTTTACATATTATGCATTCACTCAGTTATTCACATTTGCTCCAGCATTCATTCACTCAGTCATTCAGTCAGTGGGTCAGTTGGAGGTCAGTCATCCGTACGTCTTTCTCCAGCTGTTCCTGCAGGCAGGTAGTCAGTAGGAAGTCTCCATGTGTCTCTGTGCCCTGCACTAGGTGGGTCTCTGTGGGGAATGGAGAAGACAGGCAGGAGGGCTGCCAGAGCAGGACGGCCAGGGCCAGGGAAGGAGCATGGCTCCCAAGTGGGGTGTGGGCTGCTGGCCACCGCGGGGCTGGGGGAACAGATGGATCCAGAGCACAGCTGGCCGAGAGGCCTGCTGGAATGGGGTCAGGACCAGCTGAACTGGGCAGGGATGGAGCAGGCCCCAGGGCTGAGGGAGGATTGACAGTCACTGCCCCCACACCAGAAAGGTGCCCTCTGCCAGGACCCACAGGACTGTTCCACTCCCCACCCCCCGCCAGTGTGCGCCGTCTCAGCCACCTGTCCAGCGTCAAACACAAGCAGCACTAGCTGGGTGGTGGTCCGTGTCCGAGGAGGCCAGAGGGGCAGCCCACGCAGAAGACCCAAGCTAAGTGTGGCTTTAACAAAGCGGACGTGTGGTTTTCTCCCAGGGGCACAGACGACCCCGTCTGCAGTCTTGGGGAGAGCAGGCTCCTCCTGGATTGCTGTGCACCCCTGCTCCCAGCCCCAGGTGCTGCCCCCATGGGAGGGTCTGCATGGCCACCACCATGCCCGCCCCAGCCAGCAGCACACCCTACCCTTGGAGGCCACAACCCACAAGGGCTTCACTCCCTTCTGCTCCAGCCAATGGGCCAAGTGGTGGCGCCTCGGGGAGATTCCATCTCCTGGGCACTGCGTGGCCGCCGCAGCAGGAGTCCCCTTAGCAAGAGGCCTTGTGCTCGTTGGAGATTGTCTTAAGATCCCATCACCATAACGCTTGCTGAAATATTCCACCAGAAACCGTACAAACACAGGCATGGAGTCAGGCGGCCCTCGAGGCCGCAACCCCCAGCAGCCAGCCTGCGGCATCTCTGCGCAGGGCACCTGTGACCTCCCACTGCAGGACCCTTACTGGGCCCATCCACACACGGGTCTGGGGACTTCCATCCTCTTGGCCCAGGACTCCTAGCTCGCTTGTCTCCCTCCCTCGTCGCTCCCACACCGTTCTCAGCTCCACCGGTCTCTGCTCCTGTCCCTGGCCTGGCGCTGGATCCCGCCCCATCACTCCTTCCCATTCCTCTGCCCTGTTCACTGCTCCCTTGCTGGCCTTCCCCAAACTCTAAGTACCATCTACTGGCCTACTGTCCCCAGATCCATATCCCAACCCCAGCCCTGGACTCAAGCAGACACTCACTGCTCACGTCCAAGCCGGCATCTCAGACTCAGCACGTGCACCACAAACTCCTCGCCCACACCCCACCCACGCCCAAACAGGTGCCTCCTGCAACCCTCACCTCAGCTGGAGGGGACCACAAACCTTGGGGCCATCTGGGCAATGAAAAAATCCCTAGCCAACCCAGAATGCACCTGTTCTTCCATTGCCCTGCCGCCCTCACTGAAGCCACCAGCATCTCCCCCAGACCACTGCACTCCCCTGTGCCTGGCCCCAACGGCCTCTCCTTCTCCTTTGCAGTGTAGACTCCCCCCAGCAGCCAGCAGGCTCCTGTGATGAGCTCTGCTCACAAACAGGGCAGGTGTGCCCCTGCCTCAGGACCTTTGCATGTGCTGCGCCCTCTGGTGGAATGCTTTTCTGGCACCTCTGTAAGAATTCCCTCCGTGGTGACCTTCTTGGTGACACCTTCCCCTATCCTACTTCCTTAAAATTAAAGTTCTATAACCACCGCGACCCCCGCAGCCTCCACCACAGCCTGCTCCCCCTCCCGCCCCCACCCTGCTTTATCTTCGCTCAGATTGCTCGCCACCCTCTAATGCTCATTGTGCTGTGTGTGCTTCGTTTGTTTTCTGGACCGTCCCATTAATCCCCATTCTGGCTGTTCCATCCACCGCCAGAACCCCAGTCCCACCCCAGCACCCTCACTGCACCCAGCAGGTGCTCAGAAAGAGTCAGTTGCTGTTAGCTGACTCATCAGCAGAAAAAGTTTACTATTATAAACCAAACAGAGCTCAGGAAACCAATGACATGGCCTAAAACTTGTGTTAAAGCTATAAAAATCACCCCAGCTTTCACACACTGTCACTGAGAAGGGGCCCGATGGTGGGAAGCATCCTTTTGCTGACATCTTGCTGTCCAGACATTCATCTGCACGGTCCGTGAGTGCCACGACGGCAAAGATGGGCAGACAGAACTGGCTGAAGATGGGCTCAGTCTTTCACAAAGTAGCGTCAATGTGGGAAGTGGTCATTGTGATGGAAGGAGCCGGGAGCTCAGTCTGTGCACACCTTGTCTCGTCCTGCCCCACAGGGAGGCTGGGCATAGGGGTGAAGGCAGGGTGAGGTGGAGGAAGGGGAGGGAGGTCTCCAGCACTAGGCGAGCGGCCTTCTGGGCAACATTGCAACAGGAGAAAGCAGCAGCTGGGAGCCCACTAGCGGGGGGTGGTTGATATCCCTTAACCCCAGGAGGACCCCCTCAGAGAGGAAAAGCCCCGTCCATGCAGGCACAGCTCTTGGTGGGCAGACCAGAGCTAGAGCACAGCGGCCCTGTGTGCAGAACCAGGGTGGGATCCCACCAAGGTTGGGGACACAGCGCCGGGCAGGCAGCCGGGGTGGGCAGGTGCCCAGGCCAGGATGGGGCTGGGGAGGGGCCGCGGAGGGAGGGGCCCAGGCGGTTCCAAGTGCAATGGCAGGGCTGGGGTAGGGCACAGGAGCAGCGTCTGACGTCCTTAGCCCAGCGGCCCCTGCCACCCCTAGGGAAGCCTGCTCTGCGGACAGCTACCGCCCTTCCTCGACGGCTTCTTCCAGAACAGCGAGCAGGCGGTCGTGCAGGTCATGGGCACCGTGTCAGACGTGCTGCACCGCCTGGGCGTACACGGCGCGGCCGCCCAAAGCCTCAGGGTCGCCATCTACGCCCGCTCCTTTTTCGATGACGTGAGTGCCCCGGGGGGGAAACGGGGTGCCCCAACTTGTGCCCCTCCTGTGCCTACACCTGGTCCTCAAAGGCAGGGGGATCCCCAGCTGCCCTGCACCTGGGCTGGGGAGACGCCCCCAGGGGCATACCCGGGTGTGTCCCTGAGACACCCGGCAGAGCCCGGCCGAGCCCGCTGAATGGCCACCAGGTGGCGCTCGGCCCCTCTCCACGAGGCTGAACGAGCGGCGTCCCCCGCACCAGCCCCGCGGCCCCGGAGGTCGGGATGAGACCCTGAGCGAAGAGACATGAGTTCAGGTCCTCCCAGAGCACCCAGAACCTGTCTGACAGGGGAGGCACAGCCTGGGGAAGGGGCTCTGCAGCTAGAACTAAGCCCCATCCCCTCTGCAGGGCGGGTCCCGGGCTGGGTGGGGATTGGGTTCAATCGAACCCCAGGCGGGTTCGGCTGTGGCTCTGAGCCCCCGCCTTGCAGGAGCGGGCTGGGATCCGGGCGGCGGCCATGGCGCTGTTCGGGGACCTGGTGGCCGCCGTGGCCAGCAGGGAGCTGAGCGGCCTGCGGGCCCAGGTACACCAGAGCATGGTGCCCCTGCTCCTGCACCTGAGGGACTGCTGTCCGGCCGTCGTCAAGGTCTGAGCCTGCTGAGGGGCCTTCCCCTGGGTGGGGCTGGGGACACACAGGTGGCTGGAGGGGGACAGCGGGGACTGAGGCTCTGCCGATGGCAGTGGGGCCGCCCGAGGGCAAGGCTGCTCCCAGGGTGGCGGTGTGGACCCAGGGTGGCTTCCTGGTGGGCTGAGGGCCACCGAGCGCACACACACACACGCAGGCACACGTGCACACACACGGCTGTGCGGTCCCTGGGGCTCTGACCCGGCCTGTTCCACTCACTGCTGCGTCCCCGGCACCTGACACAGGCTGGGGCTCGGGTCATTCACCAAACACGGAGAAACGCTGGAGCTTCTCTGTGCACCAGCCCCGCCCTGTGCTGAGGCCAGCACGGGATCCCGCAGCCAGTTCTGGAAGGAATGGGAGGAACGGCCTGGGGCAGGAGTGAGGCTTCGGGGGGCGGGGGGGGGGACGGCTGGGAGGACGCCATCAGTCCTCACACCCCACGTGAAGCTCGTGTCTGGGGAGGGCAAAGACCTCTGGCGCTCGCGCCCATGGCCGGTCACCCCTCCCGCCGCTGTCCCCGCAGCAGGCCAAGTTCTCCCTGTACCGCTGCGCCCTGCAGCTCCGGTGGCGGCTTCCGCACACCCTCTTCTGCACGCTGGCCTGGGAGCAGGGCCTCAGCGCCCGCCACTTCCTCTGGACCCGCCTGGTGAGGGGCCTGGGGCGCAGGGACAGGCTGCCCTTGGGAGTGGGGGGAGGCCGGGCAGGGGACGCTGGAGCCAGGCTCCGGTAGGTGTGGCCACAGGGCCGGCAGGGGTGGGGTGGGGCGGGGCGGGATCCACGGTCCGGCCCCCACGGTGCTGTCCTCGGGCCAGATGACCCGCAGCCAGGAGGAGTTCAGCATCCACTTGGCGCAGGCCCTCAGCTACCTGCACAGCCAGCACCGCCGCATCAAGACCTGGGCGGCGCTCTTCATAGGTGAGCGGGGGCAGCGGGGCTCCCAGCCCCTCCAGGCCAGCCCGCCCCAGCGCCCTGACCCCCACCTGCCCTCCCGCCCACTGGCACCTGCCAGGCTGCTCAGGTCCTCTGGCAAGAGAGGAGGGGTGGCGGGTGAGGGGCCCCGGACTGGCAGGAGGGGCAGGAGATGGTCTGAGCCCCCCGCCCCCCACCAGCAAGCCCTCTGCCACGGGCCAGCGCCTCTGTCTGTCACCCAGGTTACACCACCTGCTACCACCCCCAGGCCGTGTCCCAGATGCTGAACAGTGTCGACACAAACCTGCTCTTCTCTAGTAAGCCACCCCAAGTCCCCGGCAGCCCTCCCACCCCACCTCCAGGGTGAGATGGGCGTTCGCACCCACTCACACCACCCGCGGCTCCCCAGAGTGAGGGGCAAGGAACAGGTGGGGCTGGGGAGGGCAGCACCCCGGGCCTGGGAGGCAGAGGAGGTGGGGTCTGGGTGACCTCCGGCTGCTGCCCCCATCCCTGCTGGAAGGACGGGACCCCAGGTCTCCCCTGATTGTGTCTCCTCCCCTGGAGCTTTCGAAGATCTCAAAAAGGACCCAGAGCCTGGCATCCGGGAATTTGCCACCAGACAGTTCTCCTTCCTCCAGAAGGTGGCAGCCAGACCGCAGTGACCTCCAGCCATCCTCCCTCACCCTCCTGTCCCTCCCTTGTGCTCACCGACTCAGTCAGCCCTGCCCCATTTACACAGAGCTTGGTTGCATAACATTTTTCCATTTGAAAGAAAGATCTAGATTCAACAAAGAAGCGTCACACCTGTCGGCTCCCTGCCCACCGCCTCGTGGCCCCAGAGGATGGAGGCAAGCTCACGGGACACTGGCAGGCCTAGGGGACAAGGGGGCAGACCAGGTCTCCCAGAGACAAACTGTGAAGTCCGTGCAAGGTCCTGCAAATGACAGGTTCTCCCTTCTCGGCCTTGGTCTCCCCACCCATGAAATGGGCACGTGGGTCTTTCCCTGGCCTGCTGAGGTTCCTCCTAGGGACTCACCTCTGGGCTGTCCCTCTTAGGATCCCCACCAGACCAGCCGGCCCCCCGCCAGCCTTACCCGTCAGGCACCCACACCAACCCCTCCACACCTTTGCTCAGGAAGCTCTTCCCACCCAGTGTACCTTCCCCACGGTCTCCCACCTGGGGGCCCCCACGCCCCCCTCCTCCGAGGATGAGCCCTGGGCAGAGGGAGCCCCCACCCCAGCCCCTCCTCAGCCCTGGGGCCTGGGCCACACGTCCCTCGCAGGGGACACACTCCCAGGCTCTCACCCCACCCCACCCACCAGAAACTGTAAGCCCCTCGGGGCAGGGACACAGCTGCCAGGGGCTGGCCTGGGGGAGCCCCACCACTTGGATGGTGGGTTGAAACACTACAGCAACCTTCACAGAACACGAGTTCGCTAGCCTTCTCAGATGCGTTTCATTTGGCAGAGCTGGGGGCCCCCTCTCCCCCTGGGAGCCCAGAGTGGGCTGGGATCTACAGCCGCCAGCTTATCCGTCTGTCCCTATCTGAATAGAGCGCCGGACGAGTGACTTGGGCGGGCGTGGGGGGGGGGGGGCGCTTGCCTTTTCCCGACCCCCATCCTGTGACCTCCACGGGTGCTCCAACCCCCTGGCTGGGGCACGGGGGGGTGTGCCCTTTCAAAACGAAAGAATGGGCTAACAGGGTCCCCTTGGTCCAGCCTCGTGGCTGTGGTCCCTAAAAGGCCCCCTAAAAGGGGGGCTTCGTCCTCCAGCCCCTGCCAGGCAGTGAGCGGGCAGGCCTCCTCCACACCGTGCTCCGGGAAGTCCGGCTCAGTGAAAGCTGGAGCCAATGGGTCGGACCCGAAGCCGACCGAGAGCTGAGGGACGAGCCTGGCATCAGGGAGGGGCCCCACGCCCACCTAGCAGGGCGGCCAGGCTCTGTGGAGCGGGGCACAGGGAGGGCGCCCCATTAACAGCGCCAGTGGTAACAGCTGCACCAGGCCGGGAGACGGAGGGACAGGCCTGTGTCCCCATTGGCCAACCCCCAGGGCCCCAAAAAAGGGGCAGCCCACACAGCACCCCCAGGGCCCGCTGGGCAAGTACAAGCAGAACGGACCCAGGCAGGGCACCTGCCTCCAAGCACACAACACTGGACCCTTCCTGGGCCTGCCTCCTCCCTGCGGCAAAACAGAAGGGGCGACAAGTGGGTAGCTCAGGGAGCCCTTCCCCACACACCTCTCCCGGACTGTGTGCAGGGTGCGGGGTGGAGAGAGGGAGGCTTGGGCCAGGGAGATGTAGGTGGGGAGTGGCCTGATGCCAAGCCCGGAGCTGTGACTCCTAAGACATCCGCTGGGTCCCAGTGACTAGGAGAAATGCCACTGGTGAAGGTCCCTGGGTGGTGTCCACAGCTGGCTCACAGTGCCTGGGGGCAGGGGCTCTGGCAGGCCCCACCCCCAGCCAGGCCGGCCCTGGGCCCCCTCCTCCTGGCCGTGCCCCGCACAGGGAAAGGCCGGCCCCCCGCTCGGGGAGACCTGAGCACGGCAGTCCACACCCCCCAGCAGGCCTGGCCGCCCCTCCTGCACCGCCAGGCTCACTCACCCCATGGAGCCTGGGGTCACCCTCTGCCTCTCTGGCTTCCCTCCCTTCCCACGGCCGATGGGATGGCGTGTCCCTCCCCCTGGAGCCAAGCTGGCCACCGCCGTCTGCACCCTCCTCTGGGCCTCTAAGGCTGAAATGAGGACACCTGGTGGGGGCAGGACTGAGCGGCCACCCCACGACACACGGGACCCTGAGGACTTACCAAGTGAGCCCCAGCCAGTCCTGCAGAGGGCCAACACCGGGGACCTGGCCTTGCCTTCGGATGCCCCAGCGCCCCCCAAAAAGGGAAGGCACCTGGCGGGGCCCCACGCAGGCCACATGGGAGTGGTGCTGGCTCGGGCACATCAGGGACGTCCCCTGCCCCTAATCCTGGGAGAGCGCGGGGGACCCAGCATGGATGCCAGGGGGACCGCAGTGCAGCCGGCCGGAGGGCCCCCTCCACCCACTCCCGTCCATCCCGCTCGGCCCCGCACCACACTCTCCAGGCACACACAGCCACGGGGTCCTGCTTTATTGCCTTTGAGGGTCCAGGACGGCGGACCGTCTCCAGACCCAGTAACTGACAGTGCCGAGGACAGGCCGGGGCGAGAGGCCGTGGAGGAGGGATCGGGCCCCGTAGTTAGAAAGAACTCGTGCTCCCTGACAAACGAGCCTGAGCGGGCCCTGTGGGTGGGCAGGGGCGGGAGGGCAGGGGCCCCCCAACGGAGCCTCAGAGAGACAGGGCAGGGGGCCGAGGGAAGCACAGAGGGCGCACGGAGACACGGCACAAACGGAGGAAGGAGCCAGCGCAGGGCGAGCCTGAGCCGCGGACAGGGGTGCCGAGGGGCCGAGGGCTGGGAGAGAAGGCGAGCGGGCGGCAGCGAGGCGGTGGCCGCGGTCCGCGCGGAGGCCCCAGAGGCCCCGGGCTACATGACGCAGCACCTGGTCCTGTGCGCCTGCGGCTCCTTGAACCGCAGCCTCTGCCTGGGCCGGTATTTCTCCAGGTAGGTGAGCTGCTTGCTGTTGATGGCTCCGCGCCGCTTCCTGCGGGACGGGACGGGGAGGGGTCGTGGGTTGGTGCCGCGCCGGCCCAGCTCCCAGGACGGCCTCCACCCAAGATCCTCCCCTCCCCCACCTGCGGCCACCGCGGCTGGCCCCCTCCTCCAGGCACCCCCACGGCGCCCCCCCTCCCCAGGCCCCCTCGTTTCTCAGGTACCACCCCACCCCCGGGCCACAGGGTGGGACCTGGGCATCTCTGCAGCCCAAGAGGGAGGGAGGAGGGGGGGACTCGGGTGACGGGTGATGGGACGTGTCAGGATGGCTTGGTGGGTGACAGGTGATGGGACATGTCAGGATGGCTTGGTGGACCCTTCAGGAGGTCATCCGTCCCCACCCACCCAGGCCCTGGAGCGTAGCCATGGACTTGCTCTGGCCAGTGAACCACGAGCCAAAGGGACGCGTGTCTGCCAGGCCAGGCTTCTGGAGCCCCTCTGGCCCCAAGACTGGCAACACAGGAGGAGCTCTGCGCCCCAAGGGCCCCGGGGTCCCTGAGCAGAGCCCCCACATCACCGCATCAAAGGGTCAGATGAGGGAGGGACACGTCAGAGCTGTGCTCGCTGCTGGGGTTTGGGCCTGCCGGGTGCCACGGCCTGTCCTTATTCCCGCAGCCAAGGGCCATGGAGCCGGGAGCCACGCCTCACCCGCACGTCCCAGCACCAGGAGCCACACACAGGGACCACCCTCACCCTGGACGGCGGCCTGGCTACGGGACCCACACGAGTGCGTCATACCCCAGCGTGAGGCTGCACGGAATGGGGGACGTCTCTGAGGTCACCCTGTGGCCAGGGGTCAGGAGCGTCTGCTGACAAGACGCTGGGCCCTACGGGGTGGGGAGTGCCGAGTAACACCCCCTGAGCCCAGACCCCCAAGCGCACACCCACTGCCCTCCGCCCCACGCTCGCCGGCCACTCACTGTCGGATGAACTGGATGGCGTCTTCATACTTCATCCCGCTCTCGATGAGAGCCAGCGCCACAAGCACTGGGGCCCTGGGGGGAGACGCAAGGCTGGGTCACCACGCCTCGGCACCCCAGCCCCTTCCCGGGACGGGTCCCCGCGGAAGGCACAGGGCGATGCCTTCGCTCTCACACCCACCATGAGGCTCCCCCAGTGCAGCCCAGCCTCCGAGGAGGACACAGGCCGCAGCTGAACCCGACACCTGCTGCATGGCCCCAGGCCACGTGGTCCTTGCCCTGAAATTGGGGGCGCACTGTCCGGGTCACTCAGTCACCCCTGACGGTGGGGGGGTTCTGTGCGTCTGGGGGGCGGGCTGTCAGCTCCTTCCAGCTCAAGTGCAGGGACCACGTTGCAACCCAGCAGCAGGGGGTGGGGCCAGACTTGGGGAAGGACTGTCCCTGGGGTCACGTGGGGGTCAGCATCCACTGCGAGAGCGCGCGGACCACAGATCCCGCGGTCCAGCGAGCCCCGCCCCGCACCCCCCCCCCGGCTCACCGTCCCAGGCCGGCGACACAGTGAACGGCCACGCAGCTGCCAGGGTCATCGCAGAACTTGGCCCTCAGCAGGCTCAGCCAGTCCTCCACCACCTTCCCGGGCGGGGGCGCCCCGTCATCAAAGGGCCAGTCCTGCGGAGGGCAGAAGCCCGTGAGGCCGGGGGGCCGGGGCCGGTCAGCCCCTGGCCCGGACAAGGTCGGCACTCTGGGGAGCACAGAGGGACCCCACGAGGGGGAGGGACAGCAGGCCGCAGAGGGCAGAGCGCTGGCCTGGCCTGCCGTCCCCATGGCAAGGCTTCTCATGCCTCTCCTGCTGACTTCTTGTCCCCTTCTCCAGGAAGCCCTCCCAGAACACCCGTCCTCTTCTCTCCTAAGCACAGCGAGCCCTTCGTCCCCTCCCTGCCAGCCCGCGCTGTCACTCCGGGGTCACAGCCTGACCCTCACCAACCTGAGTGTTTCTGGGTCAGCAGGCCCAAGGGGTCTGGGCAGCAAGCGTGGAGGGTACGTGCCCCTCCTGGCCCCAGCCCCCAGCCCCGCCGCACAAAGCAGACCCAGCCCGGGTACCCCTGGGAAGG